CATAGACTGCAATCAATGTTTTTTACCTGTAAAAACGCTCTAACACTGAAAAACGCGGTAAAACACAGTAAATCGTGGCAAACCAGCTTTTTGGATGGGTTTTATTTTGGTCAAGTAAAAACTCTAAAAAACGCGACCGTGAAAACGCTGCTAAACGCTAATACAAAAACACTGCAAAACTTCCTTTTTTAACGTGACTTTACATAGCTAATGTTACCAGCGTTATTAAAATGCCCCGTGTGCATGCAGCCTAATTGTTTTTTTGTACATTTCTAAAATACCGCCAGAAAACACCAGTGATACATGACATGTATGTGTGTGTTTTGTAACCTCTTGCCGACCTCAGGTAGCCGAATGACGGCTGCACTGCGGCCGGCCAGTTCTGGGTGGACGTCATATGACCTCCTCCCAGAATGTGCTCTCCTGCACGCCCACGGGGATCTCCGTGATTGCTGTGTCCTACGGACACAACTGATTATGTGATATGGTAAAAGGCCAATCACAGTGGCCTTTTACCACATGATCACAGCGCTGAGCAAACCCTTTGGCGCTATATAAATACTGTATAATAATAATGATCAGCCGTGTCCAATGACACACTGATCACCTGGAAATGCAATTGCCGCTTATCAGCTGCACTTTCCTCACGCTGTCACAGCGTGAGGAAAGTACTACCGAGAACCGGCAGTTGTCAGAAGAGGGATCGGCACTGATCATCAGGGCACTGATGATTGGTGCCCAGCAGTGCCACCCACCTGTGCCCAGCAGTTCCTCCAGTCAGTGCCACCCATCAGTGCCCAGCAGTACCACCCATCAGTGCCAGCTCAACAATGCTGCCTATCAGTGCACATCAGTGCTGCCCATCAGTGTCACCTATCCGTGCTGCCTATCAGTGCCCATCAGTTCTGCCTATCAGTGCAGCCTCATCAACGCACATCAGTGAAGGAGAAAAATAACCCGTTTGCAAAATTTATTTTTTTTGTCAAATTGTTTGCTCTTTTTTTGTTTACAGCACAAAAAAAATAAAACACCCAGCGGCAAGTAAATGCCACCAAAAGAAAGCTCTATTTGTGTGAAAAAGATTATAAGAATCTCATATGGATAGAGTGTTGCATGACCACGCAATTGTCATTCAAAGTGCAACAGCGCTGAAAGACGAAGATTGAGCAGGAAGGGGGTATAAGTGCGTGGTAGGCAAGTGGTTAAGGAATTGACTAATGATTTATCTCATGTTTTTTTGCGGTATCTATCTCACTATTTTAACAAATGTACAGTATTTACCTCACATTTGATATTTTACTTTGATGAATTGACTCTTTTATTATCTCATGCGATGTTTCTGAAAAATTAGTCACATGACCTTCATATCGCATGTGGTAATCTTTATTGAATTGACCCCATACTCTCCAGATTCAGTGGTGATGTTTTAAAATTGTGATTAAACTGGATTATCATTGTTTTCTATGGAATGAAAAATGTAAATGACAGAAGAGAATGCCCATTGAATATAATGGGTAACAAAATATAAACTCATTTGCATGCAAATCTAATAGACATAACAATTTAACCCTTACCACAGGTGCTCCTCAAGTAGAGTAGCAGATTGTAAGATTGAGATTATTTAGGATCACAGCTGTTTTCTATGGAATGATGGAAGGAAATGCCCATGAAACTCTACTGCAGGTAAATCTGAGAAACGTAGCATTTTTCAACTTTCCCATTGGTGTTCCTCGAGTAGAGTGGCAGATTGTAGGATGGAGATTGCCTTGGATTTATAGCTGTTTTCTAGGGAATGAATGACAGAATGGAATGTCAATAGGGTATGATTGGAAGCAAGGTGTGACTTGACATCAGAACCATTAGATATATGAAATAAAACCTTAGCATACATACTCTACAAGAAAACACAAATAATCCCACCTAATCTGCTACTCTACTTGAACACCTGTGGTGAAGGTTAAATTGCTGGAAATAAAGTTCATGTTTTGCTCCCCATTATATTCTATGGGCATTCCCTTCGGTCATTCACCTTTGTCCTTCCTTAGAAAACAATAATAATCCCACTTCATCTCAATTTTAAACATCACCACTGAAGTTGGAGAGTACAGTGCACCCAGAAAGTATTCACAGCTCTTAATTTTTTGCCACATTTTGTTATATTACAGTCTTATTCCAAAATAAATTAAATTCATTTTTTTCCTCAACATTCTACAAACAATACCCCATAATGCCAACATGAAAGAAGTTTCGTTGTGAAATCTTTGCAATTTATTAAAAATAAAAAACATGTACATAAGTATTCACATTTTTTTGCTCAATACTTTGTTGAAGCACCTTTAGCACCAATTACAGCCTCAAGTCATTTTGAGTATGTTGCTACAAGCTTGGCACACCTATTTTTGGGCAATTTCTCCAATTCTTCTTTGCAGTACCTCGCAAGCTCCATCAGGTTGGATGGGGAGTGTTGGTGCACAGCCATTTTCAGATCTCTCTAGAGATGTCCAGAGATGTTCAATCGGGTTCAAGTGTGGGCTCTGGCTAGGCCACTCCAGGACATTCACAGAGTTGGCCCGTAGCCACTCCTTTGTTATGTGGGCTGTGTGCTTAGGGTCGTTGTCCTGTTGAAAGATGAACCGTCGCCCCAGTCTAAGGTCCAGAGTGCTCTGGAACAGGTTTTCATCAAGGATGTCTCTGTACATTGCTGCATTCATCTTTCCTTCGATCCTGATTAGTCTCCCAGTTCCTGCCACTGAAAAACATCCCCACAGTATGATGCTGCCACCACCATGCTTCACTGTAGGGATGGTATTGGCCAGGTGTTGAGCAGTGCCTGGTTTCCTCCAGACATGACGCTTGGCATTCAGGCCAAAGAGTTCAATCTTTGTTTCATCAGACCAGAGAGTTTTGTTTCTCGTGGTCTGAGAGTCCCTCAGGTGCCTTTTGGCAAACTCCAGGTGGGATGCCATTTGCCTTTTTACTGAAGAGTGGCTTCTGTCTGGCCACTCTAACATACAGGCCTGATTGGTGGAGTGCTGCAGAGAGTGTTCTTCTGGAAGCTTCTCCTCTCTCCAAAGAGCAACGCTGGAGCTCTTTCAGAGTTACCATCGGGTGCTTGGTTACCTCCCTGGCTAAGGCCCTTCTCCCTCGATCGCTCATTTTGGCCGGGCGGCCTGCTCTAGGAAGGTTCCTGGTGGTTCCAAACTTCTTCCATTTACGGATGATGGAGGCCACTGTGCTCATTGGGACCTTCAATGCTGCAGAAATTTTTCTGTATTCTTCCCCAGATCTGTGCCTTGATAAAATCCTGTCTCGGAGGTCTACGGACAATTCCTTGGACTTCATGGCTTGGTTTGTGCTCTGACATGCACTATTAACTGTGGGACCTTATATAGACAGGTTTATGCCTTTCCTAATCATGTCCAATCAACTGAATCTCCCACAGGTGGACTCCAATCAAGTTGTGGAAACATCTCAAGGATGATCAGTGGGAACAGGATGCACCAGAGCTCAATTTTGAGTGTCATGGCAACAGGCTGTGAATACTTATGTACATGAGGTTTTTTTTTTTTTTTTTTTTTAATTTGTAGTATAGTGTCCCATAGAAAATGTTGATTCTGAAAGGAAAGTAAAGGTTTTATACCAAATATGTTGGGGGTATACTCATTTATACTGAGCAGTGTGTGTGTGCAGGGGTGGACTGACAACTCATGGGGCCCCCAGGCAATAGGGGATCATGGGGCCCCTGTGTCCTTGACCAAACTCCAAAAAAGCCTATGAAAATGGTACCAGGGGCATCTCATGGGGCCCCCTACTGACCCCGGGCAGTGCCTAAGTTTCCAAATCGTCAGTCCGCCCGTGTGTGTGTGTGTGTGTGTGTATATATATATATATATATATCATTAACACTACACCTCCCCCCCCCCCCCCCCCCCCCCCCTTCATGACCAGGCCACTATATGGCAATGCTATACATAAATGAAACTCGTACTTTTTTTCACACAAATACAGCTTTCTTTTGGTGGTATTTGATCACCACTGGGCTTTTTATTTTTGTGCTATAAACAAAAAGAGACTGACAATTTTGAAAGAAAAACAGTATTTTTTTTACTTTCTGCTATAAAAACATATCCAATAAAAAAAATTTAAAAATTAAATTCTTCATAAATTTATGCCAATATGTATTCCGCTACATATTTTTGATAAAGAAAATATCCCAAAAGTTATAGCCTGTAAAAAAACTATGGTGTATATATACTGGAATTTCCATTTATTTATTTTTATACTGGTTATTGGCGGCGATCAGCAACTTATAGCAGGACTGCGATATTGCGGCAGACAATCTGACACTAACTGACACACTTTGAGGGAACCAGTGACACTAATACAGTGATCAGTGCTAAAAATATACACTGTACTTGTACTAATAACAGTGGCAGGGAATGGTTAAACATCTAGAGCGATCAAATGCTAACTGTATGCCTAGCCAGTGTTTATTTGTGTACTATGTGTTGTTTTTACTAAGGGACATGCTGGATTTTATTCCCTGCTTTGCAGGGAAACAAAATCCAACACATCGCTGCTGACAGGATACAGTTCTTCCTTGTTTACATAGGCAGGGCAGTGTTCTGTCGCTCTCCTCACCGATCAGCTGGTGCCAGTGGTCATTCATTGGCCAGCACCCACTGATTGGATTCTGCTGTGACCAATCACAGCAGAAGCGGCGTGCACACCCTACCAGGAAGTGCAGAACACATGATTCTGCACACAGTAAAGCTTCTATAGGGCAGTCACCAATTGGATAAATATATATGTTCATTATAGTTCTATAAAATATATATAGTTATATACATCCTAAAATTATGGAACGTAATAAATCCAGAGTTAAATGGTTTCACCCTTTTCATTTACTTTACACTTGGAAATTGTCTTCTGTAGAATGAAGAAAACACTGATAATATGGATGACATTGGGACTGAATTGGTGTTTTGTTTTGATTGCAGAGTTTCTCAGAAAGCTGAAAGGACTCAGGTTGTGCAGCTGGTAAGTGGCTTATATTTGTCTGATTGGCTAAACAGAGCTAAAGGAGGACTTAGGAATTCTGATAACGTAAGCTGAGCAGAACAACTGCATGTCGAATGGAAGCTGCAAGAGGCTTTGTCAGAATCGCTTGTAAGGTCAGATCTAGAAAAATTAAGTTTTGAGCACTACATTGTAAAAAGCACATACATTTTGCACAGTTTAAAAGTCTTCAATTATTATTATTATTATACAGTATTTATATAGCGCCAACAGTTTGCTCAGCGCTGTACATTACAATGGGAGACAATACATGAGACAGTACAGTAACAATACAATGTGATACACGAGGGGTTCACAATTAACATTAAAGTGGTTCGAAAGGCTGAAGGTTTTTTTTACCTTAGTGAATTCAAGCATGGTACTGTGATAGGTTGCCACCTGTGCAAATTTCTGTGAAATTTCCTGGCTACTAAATGTTCCACAGTCAACTTTTAGCAATATTATAATAAAGTGGAAGCAACTGGGGAACATCAGCAACTCAGCCATGAAGTGGTAGGCCGTGTAAAATGACAGAGCGGGGGTCAGCGCATACTGAAGTGTACAGTGCGCAGAAGTCACCAACTGTCTGCAGAGTCAGTAGCTAAAGACCTCTCTTTTATGTGGCCTTCAGATTAGCACAACAGTGCTTAGAGAGTTTCATGGAATGGGTTTCCATGGCCGAGCAGCTGTATCCAAGCCTTACGTCATAAAGTGCAATGCAAAGCGTCGGATGCCGTGGTGTAAAGCACACCACCACTGAACTCTGTCTGGTAATCCGATGGGCATGTCCAGGTTTTGGCCAGGAGAACAGTACTTGCCTGACTGCATTGTGTCAATTGTAAAGTTTGGTGGAGGAGGATTATGGTGTGGGGTTGTTTTTCAGTGGTTGGGCTTGGCCCCTTAGTTCCAGTGAAGGGAACTCTTAAGGCATCAGCACACCAAGACATTTTGGACAATTTCATGCTCCCAACTTTGTGGGAGCAGTTTGGGGATGGCCCCTTCCTGTTCCAACATGACTGCAGACCAGTGCACCAAGCAAGTTCATAAAGACATGGATGAGAGAGTTTGGGGTGGAGGAACTTGACCTCAACCCCATAGAACACCTTTGGGATGAATTGGACCGGAGACTGCAAGCCAGGCCTTCTCGTCCGACATCAGTGCCTGACCTCACAAATGTGCTTCTGGAAGAATGGTCAAACCCTCCCTTAGACACACTCCTGAACCTTATGGACAGCCTTTACAGAAGAGTTGAAGCTGTTATAGCTGCAAAGGGCGGGCCAACTCAATATTGAACCCCATGGACTAAGACTGGGGGGCCATTAAAGTTCATGTGCGTGTAAAGGCAGGCCGACAAATACTTTTGGCAATATAGTGTATATATGTGTATATGTGTATATATTCTGGGGGTTAGCTTAGGTGGAGGGATCACCTTCCTGGGGAAAAAATGTATTCCAGACGGCAGGTCTTTCTTAAAAATCTGACTTGTAGCCAGTTTTATTTAAAAGGTTGCATGCATTATAAACAGAACAGAAAATAAACCCTCACCTTCCAGGCACTAACTAAACAGAGAAGATTCCTATCTCACAGGTAAAGGGCTTCTCCTTGTCACCAACAAAACAAAACTGTGTGCAAACTTTTTCTTTCTTGTACAAAGCAAACTCTTTCATCCAGAGCTCCCAAAGTCTCCCTGAGTCCCAGGCCAAGAGCAAGGTCTTGCTCCAGTCCTGCTTTATTTATACCACCTGCTGGTGGTCATCAGTGGATTGCAAAATCCGGTCTGGAACCAATTCTGCCAAAGTGGCCTGGAAAACCCAGACTGGACTTTTCGTCTCCTAGATATGAATGCATGCGAGGTGACACATAGTATCCATCAATCACCTCGCCTTTCATAATGTCACTATATATATATATATATAATATATATATATAGTGGTGCACCAAAATGAAAATTCTGGTGCCAAAAACCGCAGTTTTTAAAAAATGAATATATATTTTTGGAAAAAAATACACTGATTAAAAAAACAAAACAATATATACCCCAATTTTTTTGTAAAATATGAAAGAGGATGTTACGGCAAGTAAATAGATACCCAACATGTCACGCTTTAAAATTGCGCAAGCTCGTGGAATGGCATGAAACTGCGGTACTTGGGCGGTGCTTTAAAAATTGTCTACGGCTTAGCAGTGTAAAGTTACAGAGGAGGTCTAGTGCGAGAATTATTGTTCTTGCTCTGACGTTCATGGCGATATCTCACGTGTGGTTTGAACACCGTTTACATATGTGGGTGTGTCCTACGTATGCGTTCACCACTACGTGCGAGCACGGGGGGGACGGGGGCACTTTAAACTTCTTTTTTTTTTTTTAATTAAAATTTAAAATTTTTTTTTTTTTTTTTTTGCACTGTCCCTTTTTAATCACTTGCATGCATCCCTTGTGATAGAAATAATCAGTGACAGGTTCTCTTTATGGAGAGATATGGGGTCAATAAGACCCCACATCTCTCCTCTACAATGTAAAGCATTAGATTAAAAAAAGCATTGATATAGTGCTCTAAAGTGAAAAAAAAAGGCCGGAAAGGGAAGTGACATCACTCCGGTGCTCCAAGGGCATAGAGAGGAGTGATGGCCATCTTTCGTTCACTCATCTCTATGCCCCAGTGCCGGCATCGATGGTTTCTCAGGTAAGGCTGAGAACTACCGAGTGGAGGTCGGTAGGGGCGTCGAGGGGCGGAGTTTTTTTCAGCACCTGTATCGGTGCTTTTTTTTTTTCATGTCGGCCAACGGCTGAAAGGGGTGTTTTCGGCCGAAATTTCGGTGCATCCCTAATATAAATATATATATACACAACTTATAGTGGGACTGTGATAGTATGGTGGGCACTGACGTCACAAATGACACTAATACAGTGATAAAATTTAATACTGTACACTATACTGATGACACTGGCTGGGAAGGGGTTAACTTCAAGGGACTTCAATCAGGTTTTAACTGTGTGCCTAACAAGTGTAATGTGTTTCATGTGTGTTGCTTTCACTTACAGATTTGGCTGCTTTTTCTCCCTGAACTCAGAGTGGATTTCAGGGAGAAGAAACTGCTAGCTCACTGTCTGTGCGTTTTTAACTAGTAGCCGACTGCAGATAGCCGAATGACGGCTGCACTGCGGCCGGCCAGTTCTGGGTTGACGTCATATGAAGTCCTCCCAGAACGCGGGGCGCGCACCCGGCGATCTCCGTGATCGCTGTGTCCTACGGACACAGCTGATCACGTGATGTGGTAAAAGGCCAATCACAGCGGCCTTTTACCACGTGATCAGCGGTGTCCAATGATACGCTGATCAGAGGGAAATGCAAGTGCCGGTTCTCGGCTGCACTTTCCTCACGCTGTCAGATCGTGAGGAAAGTACTGCCGAGAACCGGCAGTTGTCAGAGCGGGGATCGGCACCGATCATCAGGGCACTGATGATCAGTGCCCTGATGATCGGTGCCCAGCAGTGACACCCGCAAGTTCCGCCCACCTGTGCCCAGCAGTGCGCAAACTAGCTCCGCCCACCCGTGCCCAGCAGTGCCCCCACCTGTGCCCAGCAGTGCATCCACCTGTGCCACTCTGCAGTGCCACATACCTGTGCCCACCTGTGCCCACCGGTGCCACCCACCAGTGCAGCCCAGCAGTGCTGCCAGTCAGTGCCACCAGTCAGTGCCCAGGGGTTGTGCCAGTCAGTGCCGCCAGTCAGTGCCCAGCAGTGATGCCAGTCAGTGCCGTCTATCAGTACCCATAATCAGTGTCACCTATCAGTGCCGCCTATCAGTGCTGCATATTAGTGCCGCCTATCCGTGCCACCTCATTAGTACTGCCTATCAGTGCCTTTAGTGCTGCCTATCAGTGCCCATCAGTGCTGCCTATCAGTGCCCATCAGTGCTGCCTCATCAACGCACAGCAGTGAAGGAGAAAAAATACCTGTTTGAAAAAATTTTATAAAAGAAACAAAGAAACTTTTTTTTTTTTTCAAATTTTTTGCACTTTTTTTATTTATAGCGCAAAAAGTAAAGCGCCCAGTGGCGATTAAATACCACCAAAAGAAAGCTCTATTTGTGAGAAAAAAAATGATCAAAATTTCATATGGGTACAATGTTGCATGACCGTGCAATTGTCAATCAAAGTGTGGCAGTGCTGAAAGCGGAAAATTGGCCTGGTAAATAAGGGGGTATAAGTGCCTGGTAGGCAAGTGGTTAAACAAACAAACTCTGTGCTGTGATTGGCCACAGCCGATCAGCAGGTATAGAGCCAAAATCATTGACTGAAACCTGCTGATAAATGTGTGCTGTGTCCAATCACAGCACAGGTAAGCATAGGTCACACATCCGAAAGCCAGGAAGTTCACCACAATGCGTGGTTATGTTGCGGTGCCTGGCTGTGCCGCCCTATAGCAGTACATGCACCGTTAGGGGGAAGCAAGTGGTTAAGGAAACAGTTGTTTATCTTTCCATAGTGAATGGTATATTTATGTTGATGATATAGCCTTTGGCAATGTGTTATGTGTTAAGCCTGATAGTTCAGAGGAAGACTCGCATGAGACTGGAAGTGATGCTGAGAGCGAACCAGAGCATGTCAGTGTGTACCATCAGCTGCTGGCCACATTAAAGCATGTGTCTGATGAAGAGGAGGATGAAGATGATGAGGATGAAGGTGATGAAGAAGCAGAAGGACAAAGTGCAGCAGAAGAGGAAGGAGAGGCCTCTGAAGAAGAGGATGAGGACAGTGGGGAAGAGGAAGATGCAGCAGCAGACAAATTGTCTGGAGAAGAGGTGGAGGGAGAAAGTAAGTGATTTTGTTTCATCTGCAGGGGACACTTTGGCCAAACAAGGCTTTGGGATTTGTGTGTCCTATATACAGTTGTGCTCAAAGGTTTGCACACCCTGGCAGAAATTGTGACATTTTGGCATTGATATTACAATATGACTGATCATGCCAAAAAATGCTCTTTTATTGAAGGATGATGATCATATGAAGCCATTTATTATCAAATAGTTGTTTGGCTCCTTTTTAAATCACAATGATAACAGAAATCACCCAAATGGCCATGATCAAAAGTTTTCATCCCCTGGAATGTTTGGCCTTGGTACAGACACACAAGGTGACATACAAGGGTTAAAATGCCAATTAGAGGTTAATGTCCCACATCTGTGGCTTTTTAAATTGCAATTAGTGTCTGTGTATAAATGGTCAATGAGTTTGTTAGCTCTTACATGGAAGCACTGACTAGGCTAAATACTAAGCCATGGGGATCAGAAAAGAACTGTCAAAAGTCCTGCGTAACAAGGTAATGGAACTTTATAAAGATGGAACAGGACATTTAACCTCCCTAGCGGTATTCCCGAGTGTAGCTCGGGGTAAAGTTTCTGTACCAAAAGCAGTAACCCCGAGCTACACTTGGGCTTACCATGCGGCGCTGCATAGGGAGTCCCTGCAGAGCTTACCTTGTCCTTTGCTCGATGTGTCCCCTGCAGCGTCCCCGGCCATCTCCTCCAGCCGATGCAGGCATCCGGCTTCTGTGTTCCGGTCCCTGTGACGTCGGGGGCGTATGGGCGCCGCCGGTGGCGGGTGGGAAAAATTGAAAATTTTTAAAAATGTCATTATTTTCCAAACAAATTTTACATAGTAAAAGCATTGCTGTTTCAACCCATTTCACATACATATTGTCCTAGTACTTTGTCCTGTGCCCTGCCTGCATTTTGTCTGTTCTTTCTGCCTGGAAACTGAGAAACGTCCATGGCGTCCAAAAAGTGTCCCTTTAGGTCAAAAGCGGGTTTAGATCAGCTAGAGAACAGCGATAGTAAATCAGAACCACTTGCAGAATTGAGTGATAATGATTAGTGGGGGAAATTCGTCATCAGACACTGAAACGATTTTGCGACTTTGCTCAGCGATGTGCGAACTTGGCGCTATATTTCAATTTCAGTGTTTTTGGTTTGATTATATTATTGAATTAAATTTCTTATTATTATATTATTATTTTTTATGATTATTTATTAAATTATAATTTATGATTTCGTGTTTCAAATTTTATCATACCCGGAATGTTTACTAGACTCTTGTTCGGACCAGATTTCAGTGAGTTATTCCTAAAAATTACAGCCTACAATAAAAAAACTACATATTTCCATGCAAAATAATGGTACCGCTTTCAGCACCAAAAATCTCAAATAATCATACCGCCCGGGAGGTTAATGGCTTCATATGATCATCATCCTTCAATAAAAGAGCATTTTTTGGCATGACCAGACATATTTTCAATATCAATGCCAAAATTTCACAATTTCTGCCAGGGTATGCAAACTTTTGAGCACAACTGCACTTGCTATCATGTAATTCTGGAGAGTACATATACTGCATCATTGTTGTACCTTTAACCTGAATGTAGCTCGTACTTGTGGGCTCTATTCCTATCCTAAAGGCATTGTTTACATTTACCAAAATACTGGCTATCAGGAAAGAGGTGCCTGTGGATAAACGCAAACTGGCAGCTTTGATTAAAGCTATATATTGACCTCCTTATAGGCCATTTACATACCTCATGAAGCCTGAGATTGCATCATCCCATCCGGCCTTGTTGCTGGCATGTTGCTAAGACACTCCCAGCTGTTACTGCTCACCTCCACCATCACAGGAGTGAGCTCTTTCTCTGACTCCTCTCACATGCTCTTTCTCTCTCAGGATTCAGTAGCTCTGAGCTCAGCATTTGTGAGTGCGCACGCACACAAAAACTAAATGTTTATTGCAACAGTGTTGTAATGGTTGTTCCAGCAGGCCAGAAATAAATGTACGTCCTGGTAATGAGTTTTAGGCCCTTTCACAGGGAGGGGGGGAGACTCCCGTCTTGATCAGCAGAGGATCCACTCACAGATCCCCTATTGATCAGAGAAGAGTGGCGTATGACAAGTCTGTGTGGCCTGGTGTAAATGGACTCTGCTCTCCGATTACATCCGACTGATCCAGTCTGTCTAGACATCTATACAGAAGAAGAGAGATACCCTTCCATGTTTTTTTAACGTATCGGATTAGAGGTAGATGGGTGTAAACAGACAATGGAGTCTGTTTACACCCGCCAGTTTATAGGGATACATGGACCATCTGGTCAGGTCTGCCTGAAAAACTGACAGGCCAACTCTGATCAGGTTACCCATGTGAAACGGGCCTAGTAATTTTGCACATCACATGCTGGGGGATAGACAGGTCAGCTCCTAGGCTGCAGACAGCTATGGTTCTATGATGTTTTATCCCTTAGCTTGTTCCAGGTACTGTACATTTTGCATATTACAATGTGATAGTTAGGTACATTTGTATGTATTTTAAAAGCTAAATGGTGTAAACTGTCATTTCTGTTTATTCTCATCTGTGCCTTGATCAAAAAGTATCAAATTTGACCTTATTGTTCCAGAACTTGCGGCCGCAGTAGAGAAAGATGACAATGAAGGTGACAAACAACCTGGAGAGCCAACCCAGGAAGGAGAAGATTTTACAGATACCAAACATGAATCTGCATTTAGTTTAGAGACAAATTTTATAGACTCTGACTTGGAAGATCACAAGGACAGACCTGCATCACCTTCACCTGTTACCTCTGCAGGTATACCTATATCTTCCTTCCTTCATGTAGACCTGTTCCTGGCTAGCAGCACACAATATACGGAGCTTGCACATACCTTTTTAATTTTTCATAAATCCACCTATCTGTAACTTGGGACCCTTGCATTGAGCCTACATAGAATGAAGTCTTGACTTGACCCCAGTCTCCACTGAGGAACTTCACCATGGTACATTGAGGAACTCTAGGGGACAGCACAACACTCATAATATGGGGCTAGTGGTTGTATTCATCTCAAACAGCTGAGATAGGGCTTGTGTTTCTGCACAGTGCACCCTGATTAATGAATCCTCGGCAGTATGGAACCTGGTTTATTATCATTCAAACATACCTGAGGGCACTGAAGAGTACCTGCTGACAGCATCATTTATCACAACTTAAAATCCAGGGGTGAATTACAATCTGAAGAGAAACTCCAGCTTTTAAACAAAAATGTACTACTAGGAAGGGTTTTTTTTTTTTATTATTGCAGAGGAGAGATCCTATATCTCTGCCATGGCCTGCCATTGTTTGAGCAGTGTGCAGATTGTATAGCACTGGCAATCTACCCATTATAGCTGATGAATGGGTGGCATTCATAGAGCTGAATGGACAACTCATTACTTTCCTTTCCCTCTTAGACAAGGAAATGGGTATTCCAGCTAGCTGTGAGGAAGAGACTTGTGCAAGTGATATAATGAACAGGTTGCTGGCTCTGAGAAGGCCATGAACTCTCTGCTCAGACAATGGTAGGTTGTGGCTGCATATGTATATAAGAATTTACATCTGAAGTTTGGTATTGTATTTTGGAAATAATGAACATAGCAGGAGAGGAAGGGGGCAGACAGATGGACATACACATGGGGGCTCTTAAAGGATACATTTGCCTATTGGGACATATTTAGGGGGGCACATGTAACATGATCCAGAAGCTGCAACCTCTCCCCCCTCCCTGCGACTGTGAGTGGGGGATCTTCTCCCCGCGCTTCGCTGTCACTATTTAAAAATAACGTGGCCGTGCAGGGCTCCGCCCACATGGCCTTGTCATTTATTCACAGTTTTTTTTGCCCAAACTACAACTACTGCCAGCCATTGCAACTGACGGCTTTTAGTTCTGAATGAACTGCGAGGCTCACGGCTGAGAGGCCTTGTAGTTCATTCACAAGCCCTGCAGCATTTAAACAGTCAACCCCGTATTCAGATGCGGGCTGAAAGCTGCAGGGCTTGTCTGTAGGAGTCTTGCATTGCACCCCGGATTCACCGATCACAAGTGCAATGCTTTCCAGGCTCCTGGAGGGAAAAATATTAAATGCACACTTTTTTTATCCTGCAAAAATATGTACATTTATTTATTTTTTTCCCCAAAAGGTGAACTTATCCTTTTAAGCTGCCCATAGAATAATATTTTTTTCGTTTGGTCAGCAGACTGAACAAGTAAGAAAATGGAACGGATTCCCCTATACACACAAGCAAGGTGAATGGAGAAATCTTCCCCACTTTGCTACTGTATTCTGACATTGGGACTCCTCCATTGGTCAGTGGCTGCAGCCGATTAGCTGCAGGTGCTGATTGATAAGTTTTCCAACATTGCCATTTGAATCGTTAGATCAACTTCTGTCAAGTGGGAATGGCCATAGATATATCAAAATGTGGCCAGTCCCTGCTGAACTGGACAAATTTTGATCAAACTATGGCTAGATTTATACAAATAGAGTTTGATATTTGAGGTTTGGTATTGTATTTTTGGAAATAATGGATATAATGGAAGGGTGGACATAAGGGGACACTTTAAAATGATGCAGAGATAATATGTGGTTAATTTTGCTCGCTATATCCAAAAAAATTGATTTATATGGAGGAAACCTAGAATTTTCAGCCATAGCAACCAGTCAGAGTTTGACTTTGTCACCTGCACAGAGTAGTGACAGCTGGATTATGACTAATTGCTTTGAGAAGCGCCCCCACTTTCTTTCCTCCAGGTTCTCCATCAGCCCACTTTGTAGTTCTCAATTCTCTGCCAGTATCATTATGCTTTTCAACAGTGAGTGACACAGAAACCCACATCTAAAATAACTTTTTATTTCTCCTCCAAGATCCTTTCAAAAAGCATATTGATCAAGAGTTGGAGGAGGATGACATCACTCAGATTTCAACCAGCTCTAAAACAATAGTGTCTTCAAAGGTAAAGTACAGTCATTGCTGCACCTTTTGTCTGTACTAAAAACAAAAGGTTGTTTCAGGTCTAGTGTGCATGGGTGATTGTGTTTCTGGGTATAGTCTGTGATGCATTTATGAAGGATATCAAATGCAGTGTTTGAATTTCAGTTGGATCTTATGTTGCAACCTGATTTCACACGGATCTCAAATGTCAGACCAACCAGTAACATTCACCAGTATGGATTTACAACACCCCACACAATTATTATTTCTGTTCTTCTAGCCTGTAAAGTCTTTCTGTAGTTTTGGATAGAATAGGGAAGGGTTAAAACCCCAGTCAAGGAATCGCTTGGAGACATGTTCCCCCACTTTCATTTCCGGGGATGACCTTTAATCAGACATTATTCAATAGACATTACTTTTTTTGTTATGTATATGCTCCGATTAAAGGACAGTAAAAAGCAAATAAAAAGCCTGTGCTGGACATGACTGGCTAACTGTATTCGAATTGATCAATCATGTATTAATTTTGGTAGAATTACTGCAATTTGTTATATCATTATGTCTACATGACTAGCCTGCTCCCTTTATTGTACTTGGTGTTGCCCTCTCCTTCATCCCATACATTAGAACAATTCCCGGGCACTTTAGCTTGTGTAGCACCTTGTCAGGGGTCTGATGCTCCCCTTTTGTTACCTGCTCATGGCTTTTAACCTGTAATTCTATTAGCCTTCAGCAGGTGTCTCCCAGCAGTCTTTAGGGCTCATTCAGATGGACTTTTGCAGGTAAATTCAGATGCTTTCCTACATTAGTGTTTATCCACCTATCTTGTATTCCCTGAATGAGGAGATCTTCAGTCCATCACCAGTGCCTGGTGTCACTCTGGTCCAGTCTTGCCCGTCCCTGTATTACCCTCTTCACTGTTCCTCTGCCCTTCTGTTTGTATATAGTTTTCCACTAGGTTACTGTTTCCTGGTTGTACTTCACTCACTTGTTTCTGTGTGTTTTTACATTTTTTTTAAAATTTTTTTGCTGTCATGTAAAATCGTTCTCAAGTCACATTTTTGTTTACCTTTTATTGCATTACCTGAATTAAGGTAAAAAAAACCCTGTTTGTTAGCTGTTTTTCTCCCTCCCCCCACCTCCCAAAATACTTACCTGAGTCCTCATATTGATCCAGCACTGTACCTATCTGCACCAGTGCTGGTCTCTCTCCCTTCAGTCACAGGACAGATTGATAGCAGTGGGAACCATTTGCTCCTGTTGCTGTCAGTCAAATCCAATGAGGAGGGGCAAGGTTGTGTGTCTATGGATGCACACAGCTTGTCTCAGGAGCGAGCCTGCAAGTGTGCCTCTATAGCACAAGGCTTGCTGTGGGAGCACACAAAGAAGAGGAGGAGTGAACAGTACCAGCGGGGGACCCCAGAAAGGAGGTAAGAGGCTGCTTTGTGCAATATCCTTGCACAGAGCAGATGAGTATAAACCTCTTTTTTTTTTTTTGTTTTCGGTTAAATAAAAGGGAGCCTTTACTATCACTTTAATAAACACCTATATCGCAAATACAGCAGAGTCCATTCCTGTCATATCAGTCATTAAAGGAATTCACAGTTTCATCATAGCATACCGTACAGACTTGTAAATGCTAGCTTGAGGGTTGGTACACCCTATCAATACAACATTGCAATAAAACCAGCATGCCAGACAATAAATCCAAGGGAAACTATTTACCTAACTCCCATATCAGCAAAACAATCACCAACATTCAGAGAGCATGGCGGTCCACTTTATCAAGGTGACAAATGGAGTTGAAGATGGAGCCATCATCCTGTTGAGAGGTTGGCGGTTGTTTTTGTTGCTAAAGGATTCCAGATTCGGTTTCCTGCACACCTCAAGGATGTAATGGGGTTGATTTACTAAAGGCAAATATACTGTGCACTTTGCAAGTGCAGTTATACTAATTTTCCTTAGTAAATGTAATTTGGTAAAACTACACTTTTAAAAGAATACCCAATCAGGTGCAAGAGATATTAAAAAAAAACAAAAAAACGTTTTGCTTGCACATGAGTGGATGATGGAAATCAGCAGAGCTTCACCACATTTACTAAGCTCTGGGGAAAATGCAGAGAGTGCAGCTACACTTGCAAGTGCAATCTATTTGTCTTTAGTAAATCCAACGCAGTGTTTCAAGACACCCATTAGGAAGATTTGCTAAAACCGGTGCACACAGAGTCTGGTGCAGCTGTGCATAGTAACCAATCGGCTTCTAACTTCAGCCTGTCCAGTTAAACTTTGAGAATAAAACCTGGAAGCTGATTGGTTATTATGTACAGCTGCACCAGATTCTGTGTGCTCCGGTTTTAGTCAATGTTGCCTATTATGTTCCTGTTTGTATCATTCCTTACTTCCACTTCTGTTACAACCTCCTGCCTTGTCTTCCATGAAGATTCTCACGCTTTGCCTTTAAGATTTATTACAAGTCATGTTGTGCTTATATTTTCTCATGAGTTTTGGTTTGAGTGTATTTGCACCATTTCATCATTTTTATAGTGCTGCCCTCATAGTTAATGACTTCATTTGTTTCTTTAGTGGCCGACGTTGGGACAGATCTCATTTACTTCTACATTCAAGAAAGCTCTTCCTTTGAAACTGGAGAAGGAAGATGACCTGGATAAGCTTTTTCTCTGCAAGCCTTTGGATTCCACCTGGCCTAAAGTGAACCATTTGTATTTAACAAACCAGACGAAACAGAACTTCACCTCTTTACAAAGGGAACTTTTTAGAGTTATGAATTCCTACAAGGACTTGTATTACCCATCCAGGCTAGCAATGGCACAAGGGGAAGAGATTAGACATGTGTACTGTCTCCATGCCCTGAATCACGTGCTGAAAGCAAACTCCCAGGTCCTCAACAACAACACAAACACAAAAAAGAGATCAGAAGAGTGGACTTGATGAAGAGGAGCTCCGGGACCAGGGCCTGACTCGACCTAAGGTATTCCAAGTGCTTGGTGCTCTCAACATATTGAAACGCTGTAAGGAGAACTGTCTGAGATACCATTAGCATCCAGTCGATTCCATGTATCTTTTTTTTTGCATCTTCAACTGTCTGGAGGGAAAGTTGATTGGCTGTTAGAGATAAAAACAGGCAGTTCTTCTTGCAGACAATTGCTATCCTATGTCCTGGTAATATCCAGGTAGAAATAAAAAAATGTGAATTTAGATATACTTTAACTGATTATGCTCATTTGTTACCTGAAATTGCCTTGTCATGTTTTACTGTAGTGTCAACAATAGGAAAGCAATAAATTATTTTTATTTTTAAGTTGGATAAAAATTAAAACTTTTTTTTTTTTTTTTTTTTTTTTTTTTTTACTGTCTGTGTTTTATTGGGGAGATAACCCTTCTTAAGTGAAAATAAATATCTGCTTTAAAGTTTAGGAAACTCCCTTCTTGACAGTTAACTAGAACAATTGTCCCCAATTTCCTCTCTGTTCTTGTTTTAGTAACCATTCCAAATTTTGGATATTTCCTCATTTTGTATTGCTGTGATCAAGGTCATCAGGATATGGATAGAGTGAATTTTCCTAGTGGGGACATAGCAAAATAAAATGGACAGAGCACCTAACCCTTCAATACTCTACCCAAAAACAATTTTGGTTTAAACTTTAAAGTGGCTTTTAAGCCTTAAGGTTGTTTGTTTTTTTTTTTTTTCTTTGTTTTTAAACCTTTTGTGCCAGAGGATCCCCCCAGCTTCCTTTTATACTTACTTGAGCCCGATCTCGATCCAGGCTGTGCACGAGAGCAGCACCTCTCTCTACTCTTTCCCTCATCACAGGGCAGTGGAGCCATTGGCTTCCACTGCTGTCAATCTAATTCTGTAACGAGGGAGCAGGGGCGGTACTGAGCTGCCCTGTCTGTGTCTATAGACACAGACAGCGTGGCTCGGGATCAAGCCTGCACGAGTGTAACACCATTGCACAGAGCAGGAAAGTAGGACATATATTATTTTTAATATAAAAAAATCAAGATTTACAGTCTCTTTAAACCCCTCAATTTTAATTTATTTTTATGTAATCGAGTTCATCCCCCACATAGTGCTTCTGGTGAAACTGTATCATCTTGTCACATAATTCTATGGTGTTCAGCCCTAATCTCTATACATGTAATATACTATTCTCTATGATATTCTCAGGTGCTTATTGTTGTTCCATTTCGTGAGTCCGCCTTGCGAGTGGTCCGGATTCTAATCAGCCTCATGGAAGTCCCTGATAAGAAAGTGGATGTGAGCAACAAGAAGAGGTTCAAAGACGAGTTTAGCTGTGACCCTGATGACCGGCCCCCCAACCTGAGGAGGCCAGATGATTATGAAGCGGTGTTTGCTGGAAATATCGATGATCATTTCAGGATAGGTAGGAATGAGAATGTGTAACTGTCACAATCATACAGTAATTTCCTGTTTTCTGCTGTCTGTGGGTACTCTGTTATTATGATCATTGGGAGCCAGCAGCAGTCATGCTGCACCTACCATCACATAGAGACAGCTATGACACCTTTCACTCATGTACGACTGCTGAAGGCATACACATCCTGTAAACGAAAGGCAGGAAGCTATTATTTTTATATCAACCCACATTTTTTGAGCTCATGTCATTCTGGACTTATCCTAGCCTGTGATTGAAGTGTAAATCTAGAAGCAGCACAGTGACAAGCTCATCCCATCATTGTACTCTGTGTTCTGTGCCTATCAGCACATGAACTGATTGGATCCTTGTGTTTCCACTTCCTTTGCTGTATGTGTCTGCTATTAAAACTCAATTCAGTTAACTATTCCTTCAGTGCAGACTTCAGTCAAAAATAACAATAAAAATAATTATAAACAGCCCTTAAAAGAAAAAAATAAAAAAGCAGCTTTTGGTGCAATGTGCTTCAATTCAGAAATGTTTTTACAGGACTTTTATGCCACTAGATGTTAGTTTTATGGGTTAAATGATGGACAGCATCATTCAGTATGCTTCCTCCGAGCCAAATCTGTCATGGACCCGCCTCCAGCCTGTGACTGGGCAATAAATCAGAAGCCGCAATATGATGGACTAATTTCCCTGTCACTCTGCTTTCCTCTCCTCATCAGTACAGAACATATTAACTCCTTGTGCTGCTTCTCCATCTCCCACTCTGAGCTCTGCTGTACAGGAACTGTATAGGCTTGATAACAGGTTGGGTTAAGATACTTACACTTGCATTGCTTTTTTTTTAAAGATACACTTTAATTATGTTTTTTAAAAATAATTTCACTTATTAATTTTTTATAAAATCGTTTATATTTTTCCTTTTTCATCATAAAATAACAACAACAAACCATATATGCAATACTCACCACACAGGACTTTACAAAAAACAAAACCCAAAAACAGTACAAGACAAGACCAAAAAAAAAGAGGGAATATCCCACCCAGCTATAATACCAGCTTTAAAGCACAATAATATATTCCCTAAGTGTAGACACCAGAATTTAAGACAAAAAAGATCAAAAAAAATTTAAGAAAAATACATAATAAACCTATTCCGACACAGGAAACATATATTTAGTCCAATTAGATCAAATAGCATTGAATTTGCTCATTCAATTTCTTAAAAATTTGTGTGTTTTTTTTCAAAAGCGATAAGCTTGTTGAGATCAAAAATCCAGTCAGATAGAGTAGGCGGATATTGGGAGGTCCACCTAAGGGGCATATTGTCTGCGGGCCACAAAAAGTGTCCGCAGAATAGTAGTCACTATCGGGGGGGGGGGGGGGGGGTGTATAACAAAGAATCTACATAGCCCAATAAACATGAGAGTGGTCAACAGGAATATTCACATCAAAAAGCCCATTAAGTGTACCAACCACCTCCACCCAATATCTCTGGAGTTTAGGACACCGCCACAAAAGATGTATAAGAGTACCAGAATTGCCACATGTAGCACAAGCTGGATCAGATTTCAGACCTATGGTGTAGAGAAATTCAGGGGTTCTATAACCCTATGAAGAATAAAAAGCTGTGATAATATATGTGAAGAAAGGGACACCAAAGGAAGAGAATGAAGAATCTTCCCCCAGGTCTCCTCTGAAATGGAACCAATATCCTGCTCCCATCCTGTCCTGGACAGAATCAGGAACTTCAATAAAAATGTATTTAATAACTGAATAGATGTCTGAAATGAGTTAGTTGATGTTGCTTGAATTGTTCTGTCCAGCATCAAGGTGGGGTGAAAAACACTACTGTAGAAGAAAATTGAGCTAAAACCGCATGACAAAGTTGAAGAAGCTGATAAAACCACCTTTGATGTAAGGAACACTCTATCCTCATCTGCTTGAATGTTTTGAGAGTTCCATTATCATAGAGCCAGCTATGGCCCATAAGGGCCAGCTTTGTGGAGTGCATGACTAATAGTTGTCCTGTAGACAGATTCTCCCATCTCTGCAACTCCTCCAGAGTTACCATGGTCCCCTTGGCTGCTTCTCTGGTTATGGTTCTCCTTGCCTGGCCTGTCAGTTTAGGTAGATGGCCATGTCTTGGTAGGTTTGCAGTTGTGCCATTCTCTTTCCGTTTTCGGATGATGGATTGAACAATGCTCCGTGAGATGTTCAAAGCTTGGGATATTTTTTTTATAACCTAACCCTGCTTTAAACGTCATCACAACTTTTCCGTGGCCTGTCTGGTGTGTTCCTTGGCCTTCTTGATGCTGTTTGTTCACTAATGTTCTCTAACAAACCTCTGAGGGCTTCACAGAACAGCTGTATTTATACTGAGATTAAATTACACACAGGTGGACTCTATTTACTAATTAGGTGACTTCTGACGGCAATTGGTTCCACTAGATTTTAGCTAGGGGTATCCGAGTAAAGAGGGCTGAATACAAATGCACACCACACTTTTCAGATATTTATTTGTGAAAAATTTTGAAAACCGCCTATCATTTTCCTTTCACTTCACAATTATGTGCCACTTTGTATTAGTCTATCACATAAAATCCCAATAAAATCCATTTACGTTTTTTGGTTGTAACATGACAAAAATGTGGAAAATTTAAAGGGGTATGAAAACTTTTTCATGGCACTGTCGTATGAGAATGTAGTTGGCAAGCAGCCCTGGAAGGTCTCTTGGATTCCCAGCCCGCAAGATGCTGCAATTAAGCAGCAAAAAAATATAACCTTGGGTTGGGTACTGCTATTCCTCCAGCATCACTGGGATATTGTAGTGTCTAATTTAATACAGGGGGGCTTCTTTCTCCAAATTAAATCCCTGAATATGCTATTGATCTTAATAAAAATATGCATAGGTATCCAAACAGGGGAATTATAAAAAAAAATATAAGAATTGGGGCATCCAAATCATCTTAATTAGTTTAACACTGCCTACCAAGGAAAGGGGTAGCTTTACTCCAAGATTTACTTTGGATTTGCAATCTAGACAACAGTGGGGCAATATTGTCTGAAATGAACGCCTGAAATTAAGCTGATATTGTTACCCCCAAATACTTCATGGATGGCACAACTCTTAAATAGGAGAGTGTGGATGGTAAGGAAGTTGACAAAGCGTCCAGTGGCATTAACATTGATTTCTCCCAGGTAATGCCAAGGCCTGAGAATTTCTCAAATTCATCAACATGTTTTCCATTACTGCTGGAAGAGATATCTGGATATTGTATAAAAAAGGAGGACATCATCTGCATACAATGCAGTTTATTCCTCAAAGGCACCTCTGATTAAGCCGGGCATATCTATTGAAGCCCGTATAAGGTAGGCCAGGGGTTCTATGGCAAAAAGCAGGGGGGACAATGGGCACCTCTGCCTGGTGCCACGAAAAAGTCTAAAAGAAGGAGACTGAAAGCCTTTAATTCTGACTGAAACCATAGGATCTGCATAAAGCAATCGGATCCATTGACAAAAGGTGGCACCAATGCCAACTTTTTTGAGAACTACCAAAAAATATGGCCACTCAACACTGTCGAAAGCCTTAATAGCATCTAGCACTAAGAAGCCACCACGATCAGTGTAATATGAAACTGGCACCTGCATATTTAGATTTTTATTAGGCCCACCTAATAATAATAGCTGTTGACATATTAGGCATAAATACAGCCTGATCAGGGTGAATAATGTGTGTAATGACCTTCAATCTAGTATTTTAACATTGGCAGACAATAGAGAAATTGGTCTATAAGACTCTTGGTACAGAGGGTCTTTCTTGACTATGCTACTATGACAGCTTCACCCATAGAATCTGGGAGCCAACCTTCAGAAAGAGCCTCATTAAATGTGTTAAGAAGAACTGGAAGCCAGAATGTACTGTATATTTTATGAATTTCCATAGGGAGACCATCAACCCCCAGGGCTTAACGTTGGGGAAACTAGCTACCACTGCTTCCAATTCATGTAGAGTAAACGGAGCATCAAGTCCTTCCTGATCTACAAGCAACAGAACAGGAGAGTTGATAGTAGCAATATAAGTGGTAAACTCAAGCAGTATATAGTCAGCCTTGGAAGCATATAAATCTTGTTAAAAGGATTGCAAAATGGACACAATTGAGCCCACCTGAGTATTAATCTCCCCCTCTCTGTTCTTCTTCAAAGTCGAGACATGGAGAGTGGGGTTAGACTGAGATTGAACTATTTGAGCCAGTGACCTACCATTTGCCTCCCCCTCAGCCCACATCAACCTCTTCCAAAAGAACTGTTTATTCCTGGCCCTATCTTCTAACAGCCCATTGAGCCTTCTCTGGGCAGGCAGCCATTCAAGTCTGTTATCTAAAGTAGGATTAAAAATATAGTTGGCTTCTGCTGCCGAAGTCTCCGTCTTGGCGAGCTCCAATTCCCCACGGAGAGTTTTTAATAACACTGACTTGTTGGATAAGCAAACCTCAAAGGAAAGCCTTAAACGCATCCCATACTACACCTGGGGAAGTAGAACTCACAGTGTGGGTCAAAAATACCTCAATTATGGAACGTAGAAGATCTTCTTTGAGGAACAATTCCAGCCAGGAAGGGTTCAATTGCCACGGAATAGTGGATTCTGGATGACCAGATATTAAAGTAACTAACAGCAGGGAATGGTCAGCTATTCCTTTGGGTTTTATTTTGCTCTCAACCAAAGCTGGAATAAGCTCCATAGTGCATAAAGCCAAATCAATTGTGGACAAAGAGTTATGTGATTTAGAATAGTATGTATAGACACTTTCATCAGGATGTAACTGTCTAAATATATCTTGCAGCCCCAGTTCCCTACATTGTCTCCCCAATGAGGAAAGACCTTCTCCAGAAAAGGATCTAGGAGCTGGAGATCTATCCCTCCCCAAATCTATTACATTATTAAAATCTCCAAGTACTAAGATTGGTACTGAAGGAGAGATCCCCACAAAGGTGACTAGCTGATGGAGCACCTCTGGATTTTAAGGGGGAGGTATATACACAGCAGCGAGTATCAATTCAGGATCATATATCTTACACTGGAGGAAAACATTTTCCATTTCTGTCCACAGAGGTCCTATTACACAAAAAAAACCACGCCCTTATACACCAACATAGACACACCCCTTGAATATATGGTATACATACATATGGTGTACGTTGCGGCTCTGCAAAAATCTAGTAGTACAACGAGTGGCATGTGTCTCCTGTAGACAGACCAAGGATGGGCGACAAGAGGCGACATACTCAAAAACAGAATGCCTTTTCAAAGCATTATTTAAACCCCTAATGTTCCATAACAAAACATGAATAAATTGATTAACCATAATCTAAAATAATCGCTAAATGTACCCACTAGCCCAGTTATAACAGTAAATTTGTCCCTCTGAATGAACATAGCTAAACCAAGACTGGCTCACTATATAGCAAAATTATCAAAGGGAAGAAAAAAAAAAACAAGAAAAACTAGTCCACGCAGGAAATAGCCACAAAAAAGAAAAAAAATATATTTTCTTTTTTTTTTTTTAAAGTAGTGGCCATCTGCTGGTTGAGCTTCCAGCACCTAAACATAACAGGGAAAAAAAATTGTCCACCGTGCTTACAAACATAGAAGAGAGAGGAAGAAAAAAAATGATTTAAAAAAAAAAAATAATATTCCATCCCAAAGGATTCCTTTCTTCACCGAGGTCGTTTGACCCCTCTATAGAGGGAAAGGAATAGAGAAGAAAAAAAATATAATAATGAATAAATAAAAAGAGGTAAAAAATGGGGATAGGAAAATATTCTTTATCTCCCCCCTCTCCCTCTCCCCCTACACTCCTCCCTCCTCTGCAAAAACAGAGAATATCCTCAAAACCGTAACCAAAAATTAGGCCACAAGACAGCCATCCATTTAAGAAAGATTTTTACACACTAATGCATCAAGATACATTTGCTGTATTAATGATTACAGAGCCAAATTCATTTGTGTGTTTTATATCTTTCTAAAGTTCAGCATTCTCTATTCTGTCCAAAGCTAAAAAAGGTTTTCCTTTAGATATGAATTAAATGTTGCTTCATCATAAAAATTTGCCCTTCTTTTCGCATTCCTGTAAGAGGCAAAGCTGTAAAGCTTTTTGTAGCCTCTGAAGAAAAAGGAAAAAAATAAGACAAAAAAATCCACAACATTTTGATTGAAGGGTTAACATCTATTTTCCTGTCTTGTGTTTGTAGCTCAGTACAATGTGGGATTTAGGTTACCTGCTTGTTAATGGTTTGAGTCATTGTGAAGCATATTAATGAATACATGTTGACATTGCCCCATCTTTGGTTGACAGGAGTGGCCATTCTGCAGAAGAGCATGAGACTTTACTCTCCATTCTACTCCTCGGACATCATTATTGCATCTCCAGTTGGTCTTCGTACCGTCATTGGTAGTGAGGGAGAGAAAAAACGGGATTTTGATTTTTTGTCTTCCATAGAGATCCTCATCATTGATCAAGCTGATATTTACCTGATGCAGAACTGGGAACATGTCTTGGTAGGTGTAAAATATTGGTGTAGATAACACAGCACCTTTTATAAGCATTTCCCCCCCAAAAAATGGATCTTAACATCAAACTCTTTTTCTGCGATGGCTGTGTACGCATCACTTCCAGCTGCTGCTTGGTACATAGTTACATAGCTAATATGCTTTAAAAAAAGACACAAAGCGGCAGATTTACTAAAACTGGAGCACTCAGAATCTGGTGCTATGCATGGTAACCAATCAGTTTATGACTTCATCTTGTTCAATTAAGCTTTGGCAATAAAACCTAGAAGCTGGTTACTATGCACAGAGGCACCAGATTCTGTGTGCACCTGTTTTAGTAAATCATCCCCCAAGCCGACCTCAATGCACTGTTTAATTGGGTAACTATGTGGCAAATGAGGTTTAATGTTGATAAATGTAAGGTTCTGCACTTGGGGGCTAAGAATATGCATGCATCATACATACTAGGCGGAATACAACTGGGGGAATCAATGGTGGAGAAGGATCTGGGGGTTCTGGTAGATCACAAGCTTAATAATGGCATGCAATGCCAAGCTGCGGTTTCTAAAGCGAGCAAAATCCTATCTTGTATTAAAAGAGGTATAGACTCCAGAGAGAGATATTTCCCCGGTACAAATCATTAGTAAGACCTAACCTGGAATATTCAGTTCAGTTTTCGGCACCAATTCACAAAAAGAACATTGAGGAACTGGAGAAAGTACAGAGAAGGGCAACTAAACTGATAAGAGGCATGGAGGAGCTCAGCTATGAGGAAAGATTAGAGGAACTGAATTTATTCTCTCTTGAGAAGAGGAGATTAAGGGGGGATATGATCAACATGTATAAATACATAGGTGGTCCATAAAGTGAACTTGGTGTAGACTCATTCACTTTAAGGTCATCACAGAGAACAAGGGGGCACTCTTTATGTCTGGAGGAAAAGAGATTTAATATGGAAAGGTTTAATCACAGTAAGAGTTGTGAAAATGTGGAATAGACTCCCTCAAGAGTTGATTCTGGCCAGCTCAGTAGATTGCTTTAAAAAAGTCCTGAATTCTTTCCTAAATGTACATAATGTAAGTGGATGCTAATAATTATGGTTAAGTTGATCCAAGGAATATTCAATTGCCTCTTGAGGGATCACAAAGGAATTTCTCCCGCTCCCGCTGTAGAAAATTGGATCATGCTTTATTGGGGTTTTTTGCCTTCCTCTGGATCAACTGTGGGTATAGGATTGTGTATATAGGGTTGTATAATTATATTCCCTCTTAATGGTTGAACTAGATGGACTGTGTCTGTCTTTTTTTTCAGCCAGACTAACTATCAGTAAAAATAAATCAATTGAAAACTTGCATATACAGAACCCTATGCCCACAGGTTAACCTCTTCATGCTGGACGCACACAAATGTGCGGCCTCCCGGCATCTGGGCCTGGAGGCCGAGCGGCCGCACATTTGCGTGCAATTAACAAAAAACACCATGCACGCTCCCAGCACACGTCCAGTACTCACGGAAAGGTCCCGGTCTGCTCTTTCGATCGGGACCTTTCCCAATCATGTGACGACGCGTCACGGCGGTCACATGATCCCTAAACCCCGTCCCGCCTCCCGGCTTCTGAAACTCTTAAAGGGCCAGGAGGTGCCGGCGGGAAGGGGTTAATGATGATTGATAGCTTTGACCCCTCCATTCAGAGGTCCTGTTTCATTCATGAAAGATGTAGTATGACTTCTATGCATAGAGCAGCTAAGCAGACTGGGCGGGCATAGTCTTGCTTTCTTGGTGAGCAACCAAAGCGGACAACAGTGTGTACTCTCCATCGCTCCAGGAATCAATTTCCAAAGGAAGACCAGGGAAACAGAGCAAATGGTAGCCTATGGATAACGTGTCGGGGATGCAGCCCTCCTCAGATGGGGAAATCAACAACTGAAAAAGAGCAAACAGGTGGCACAAACACCTAGTGCATTATCCACGGTTTATTCAAAATGCATAAAAGATAAAAACATACTCACAAATGTAGCATGTGTACAAACGCTTAGTATAACAATGGAGATGGCCACAACAATTGGCAGGGTGTTTGACTGTCAATGTGGTTGGGCGCTGATGCGTTTTGTGGGACGAATCCCTTTCCTCAGCTTGTCAACAGAGATTCGTCCCCGAAACGCATCAGACCCTGACCTCACTGACAGTCGGACACCCTGCCTAATGTTGTGCTGCATTTGTGAGTATGTTTTTGTCTTTTATGCATTTTGAATAAACCGTGGATAATACTCTTGATGAGCGAGCCTGTCACAGCCTGTTATTTGCATTAAACCCCGCTGCAGCAGAAGATGACGACAGTGGGGGTAGGGCAGGGCGGACAAAGGTTTTCACTGTCAGCACAAAGGATACATCCTACTGTGTTATGTCCCTTGTGCTGATTTTTGTGCTTGTGATTTTGGCTGCGCCTAGGCTTTAATCAGGAATCACGTTGCAGATATGCCTCTTCTTCTTTCCTAGTACAGCTAAGTTAAATGAACTGTCACAAAACAAGTTGTGTCCAAGTGTGTTGTGTATGTATTATTAAAAAACCCAGCTGGCTTTGCAAACTGATTTTCACCAAATGTTCTCTTGTGAGGAATTTTGCAGGTCCATGTGTTTCAGAATGTTGGGGAAAGTCACATTCCCTGCTTTATAAATATACCTACAAGTGTAATTAATGTGTTAATTCATGTCATTTTAAAGCTTGTATTTAAATATAACATTTTATATAATGGCATTTTCTACATTTGTAAACTTTTAGACAAACTACAACAGAGCTAAAGTCATTAAAGGAGAACTAAAGGCAGTTTGGTTTTATATTGGATAGAGTAAGGGACCCCTATCAGGTAAATTTTGCCATCTGTGTCGCATTGGGGAGATTTGCCTTTACTTCCTGTCCCATAGCCAAAACAGGAAGTGAGAGGAAATCCCTCCAAAGTGAGGGAATCTCTGGTTGTCACTATGGTCATCAGAACTACTGTCCGCATTGGAAGATTTCCCTTCTATTCTTGTTCTGGTGACAACCCAAAATGTAGAATTTTCTTTCACTCTCAGTTATGCTGATAACCGTAAACAAGACAAATAGAGGGTGAAAGTGATACTAAAGGTGTTTTTTTCTATATAACAAACATGTCATACTTACCTGCCCTGTGGCCTGATCCTGCTCTTTTTGGGTCTGCCGCCGGCGCTCATGGCTCCTCCCCCCTTGCTGATTGCCTCCATTGTAAGACACTTGTTATGGGGGAACTCGTGCATGCTCACTCCCAAATCCCACCCTCCAGAAGGAAAGAAAAAAAAAAAAAAGAGGTATACCTACCCCTCCAATTCACTGATCCCCAGTCTTCACTTGGTCATGTATCAACATCTTATCTTTTATATATGGGCAAGTGCCACCTGGTCCTGGGCAGTGGAATCCTTCCAGTTGCTATGAGGGACTTGGCAGCAGTGCCATTGCAGCTCTGAAGTGTACCCGCATCCATTTTCAGCAGAGGGATTAACTCTGACACAATATCCTGTGCATCTGAAATACAGAATAAAGCATTTCAGATAAACCCACCATAAGAGCACTAGGGGGCTTCCATTGCTGACCTAGAAATGTTAGCTGTTACTCTTGGCTTCAGTGTTTTCACTCACTATCCAGGCACAAGTATGGAGATTAGGAAAAGAAGAGAAAAGATTAAAATCCTTTTTGTTTAGTCTGTGATTCAATTTATTAAAGCCAGAAGATGAGCATGACAACCAGGAATCTAGCAATTACAGTCAGAGATAGGTATTAGTAACCTCCATATTTCTTTTGACAAGTTTCCAAGACTGAAGCCTCCACTGTCTAACAGAATAGAATGAAAGCACACTTCAATATTTTACTGTATTACAATTTTTGCACAGGAATGGGTAATTTTACGTATTATTATTATACAGGATTTATATAGCGCCTATTGTTTGCTCATCGCTTTACAATATAAGGGAGACAATACAGCAACAATACAGTTCAATACAAGAGGGTTAGGAGGGCCCTGCTCCTTGGAGCGTACAATCTAAGAGGGAGGGGCTAGTGGTACAAAAGGTAATAACTGTGGGGGATGGACCGATGGGAGAAATAGAAGATTCCATTGTTAGCTGAGGGCAGGATAGGCTTTCCTGAAGAGAGAGGTTTTCAGAGATCGCCTAAAAGTGAGCAGAGTAAGTAGGCGATAGCCTGATAAATTAGGGTAGAGAGTTCCAGAGGATGGGGGGAAGCTCTGGAGAAGTCCTGGAGACGAGCATGGGAGGAGGAGACAAGGGACTAGGGAGCAGGAGGCCGTGGGAGGGGCGGAGAGTACGGTTTGGGTGATATTTGGAGACAAGATTGGTGATGTAATTTGGGGCAGTGTTATGAACGGCTTTATATGTTATTGTTAATGTTTTGAATTTTATTAGCTGGGCAATGGGAAGCCAGTGGAGGGATTGGCAGAGAGGGGTGGCAGATACAAAATGGTTAGTAAGGTGGATCAGTTTGGCAGCAGCATTCATGATAGACTGAAGAGGGGATAGCCTGCGATGAGGTAGGCCAATGAGGAGGGAGTTACAATAGTCAAGGAGAGAGATAACAAGGGAGTGAATAAGTTGCTTAGTGGTTTCCGGGGTTAGGAACGGTCGTATCTTGGAGATGTTGTGGAGGTGAAGTCTGCAAGATTTGGACAGTGATTGGATTTGGGGCTGAAAGGACAGATGGGAGTCTAGGATTACACCTAGTACCCTGGCATGAGGGGAGGGACTGATGATTGGTTATTGATCTTGATGGAGAACTCGGGGGAGGGGGCACGGGCTGGAGGGAATACTAAGAGCTCAGTTTTGGAAAGATTGAGTTTGAGGAAGTGAAGTGACATCCATGCTGATATGTCACTTAGTAGGTTAGTAATGTGAGAGGAGACTGAAGGGGTGAGGTGAGGAGTAGATAGATACATTTGGGTGTCATCGGCATAGAGATGGTACTTAAAGCCATGGGAGTTTATCAAGTGACCAAGGGAGGAGGTGTAGATGGAGAAGAGAAGGGGTCCAAGGACAGAACCTTGAGGGACCCCTACAGAAAGAGGGAGTGGAGAGGAGGAGGCAGAGTTATAGGTAACACTGAAGGAGCGCTGCGATAGGTAGGAGGAGAACCAGGAGAGAGCAGAGACTTGGAGGCCAAGAGAGTGGAGTTTTTTGAGGAGGGGGATGGTCGACAGTATCAAAAGCCGCAGAGAGGTCAAGTAGTACATTATATTAGGTATTAAATCTTGATTTGATAAAAATCTATTCTTGTTTTAGGTTCAGAATCTGAATGTATTTTCTTTCCATAACTTTGTTGATTTTCCTTTTTTCAGCACCTAATGTCTCACCTCAACCTCCAACCAACAGACTCTCATGGGGTGGACTTCTCCCGTGTCCGTATGTGGAACCTCAGTAACTGGTCCAAATACTATCGGCAGACACTGCTGTTCAGCTCCCTGCAGGAGCCCCAGATCAACTCTATATTTAATAAGCATTGCTTCAATTACAATGGGCAGGTAAGTTCATCAAAGCCAATGCAGACAATAGAGATATTTTTCAGAAAGTTCATAAATATACAGTAATCCAAATCAACCCGCTGGGTATTTTATTAAATATTTTAGTGTTACCCGACTAATGAACTCTTCTGACTGCTTGATAAAAAGATACTTCATATCATTGCATTTATGTCTTTATTATTATCCATGGCATTAAAATTGTGAACTGGATAGGACTGGGAAGTACATTAGTTATTTAGAGAATATGTAGTTACATTTCTTCTATAACACAAACATTTAAAAGCTCTCCAATTTAACCACTTGCCTACAGGGCACTTATACCCCCTTCCTGCCCAGGCCAAATTTCAGCTTTCAGCACTGTAGCACTTTGAATGACAATTGTAAGGTCATGCAACACTGTACCCATATGAAATTTTTATAATTTTTTTCATACAAATAGAACTTTCCTTTGGTGGTATGTACTTGCCTCTGAGTGTTTTATTTTTTCGCTATAAACAAAAAAAGAGCAAACAATTTGAAAAAAAAACGTTTTTCTTTGTTTCTATTTCTAAAATTATCTAAGGTAATTTTTCTCCTTCACTGATGTGCGTTGATGAGGCTGCACTGATAGATGGCACTGATGAGGTTGCACAGATAGTCGGCACTGATGAGGTTGCACTGATGGGCACTGATAAGCGGCACTGATGATCTGGCACTGATATGCAAGAATGATGGGCACAGACTGGCAGCACTGATGGGTGGCACTGCTGGGCAGCACTGATGGGTGGCACTGCTGGGCACTTGTGGGTGGCACTGCTGGGCACTGATCATCAATTGTCCTCTGACAATTACCTGTTATCGGCAATACTTTCCTCACACGTGAGGAAAGCGCAGCCGCTAACCGGCGATTGCATTTACCCGGTGATCTGTGTCATTGAACACAGCTGATCACATGGTAAAAAGCCGCTGTGATTGGCCTTTTACCACATCATGTGATCAGCTGTGTCTGTAGGACGCAGCGGTCATGGAGATCGCCAGGTGCGCGCAGGAGGGCACGTTCTGGGAGGACATCATATGATGCCCTCCCAGAACTGGACAACCGCGCTGTAGCTGTCATTCGGTGCGGTTGGCAAGTGGTTGAATATTAATAATTAAAACATACCCTACCTGCTTCTGGTTCCCACTTATAGAGACTGCTGACATATCTAGTTTACCTCGGTACGATCACATTTCATTATCATATTTCATTAAAGGCTCGCACACACACAAGGAAGCTGCACTAAACGTGTGGCTGCTAGAGTGCACTGTGTGTATATAGTGCTGATTTGCCAATCCTGTTACATCCCCAATGTTTACTTTTTTTTTTATTTAATTTTGTTATTGCGTTGTTCTTATTTGCAGTGCATGTACTACTTTTATCAGTGCACACCATTGTTACACATTTGCAGTGGTGTAAACTACCCTTTTAGGGAACAAGTATTTTGCCTTTTGAGGGCAAGCAACAAAAATCCTTGTTTCCTATGGAGGCAGCTCACACCGTAGCATGCACTGAAAATGTACTGCATGTACTATCATACACTGCAGGTAAGAATAATGCACTAACAAAATTAAAAAAAAAAAACATAAATGGTGTGCTTTCCCAGTGCAGCTCATGAATGATCCCTAAATGTTGCAAAATGTAATCCATGGACAAATTGTTATTATTGGTACATATATAGCGCCGACAATTTTATTACATATATTTGTACATTCACATCAGTCCCTGCTTTCAAGGGGCGTACAATCTAAGGTCCCTAACTCACATTCATACATACACATACTAGGGCCAATTTAGACAGGAGACAAACTTCCAGCATGTCTTTGGAGTGTGGGAGGAAACCCACGCAGGCACAGGGAGAACATGTAAACTCCAGGCAGGTATTGCCATGGTTGGTATGTGAACTGATAACCCTAGTGCTGGCAGGCAAAAGTGCTAACCCCTTGGCAACAAAAATGAGAGAAATTATGCTCATGATACCTGGCTGGTTTATTGCCTTCAACACCAGATGCCATAACAGGTTGATTCCTATGCAGTACATAGCTAGGAAAGTCAGAAAGTATGTGTAGCTGCAGAAAGTAGGAGAGTTTAGTTGAGACCACCCTGTGTTCTCTGGTTGACAGTTTTTAGGTAGTTTTTGGAAAACTGCAAATCTAAATACATTACCTTATTTACACACACAGCCCAAAATCCCTTGGAAAGTCCACAAGATAATTCATCCTATTATAACCCAAAGGCCTGCTTGTTACTTAGAGTTTTTGCCTTGGGTGAGGCAACAAGGGGCAGCTGCTACTGGGATCCTCACTGTGCCTAGTAATCCTGCACACTGTGAGATCCGAGGCAAATGGGAACTCAGAATTCATGCCGATGAGTGTAATATATTTAGGAGACTTAAGAAGAGGGACTTCTAAAGATCAGATCTAGAAATATTAGGTGACTTGATGCTATGTATATTTACTGAGAATTTCCTGTGAAATAAAGTTGCCTTTAAATCTTTAGCTCTTGTTCTTAGCTAAAGCGTCACGTCAGAAAACCATCTTTAGTACAAGAAGCTGAATACATCACCCAAAATGGGTCAAGTTGCATAAATTGGAAGGTTTATTCACAAGCAGAAGGCACAGTACATCGAAGCATCAAAGTTAGCCTTAACTCCTATAACCTTTACTCAAGGCCCTATGAGTTAGCATGCATAAAACATGTTATGGCTTTCTTTGATGCTTGGATGTAAAGTGCCTCTTCTGCTCATTAATAAACCTGTGGATTTATGCAACGTACCATTGCAGAACCATTTTGTGTGCTGCTTTGAATGCTGTGAAGAGACCAGGATAAGTCCAGGAAATGACGGACACTGCTGTGTGAAATCTGGAGCTGGTCTGCCATGTGGCAGCAGATATTTAGTCAAGTGCCTAAGAAACTGAATACTTACCTGTCCAGTAGCTAACAAGTAAACTCTTTGTCATTGGTGCCTCCCCAACTGGGTGTCGTTGGTCCTCCTGCCAACTACTATGTCTTTACAGGTCATGAGAGCTGGCAGGAGGAACCACAATGCAAAGCAGGGTACCCTACCTATCTGAAACCCCCCAGAAAACATGTATAGAAATGATGAAGACCGGGAAGATTTCACTTGCTATCCAAAAAATAAGTATGTATGTAGCTTTGGTATTGCAGGGGGCAGCTGGCTGTTTTTTCTTGCAGAAGGGAAAGGTTCCCTTTAAGATGGGTAACTCCAGGCAAACAGCTACATACATACAGATATGTTTCAACAGACAAAGGGTTTGTAATTCCAAACAGGGAGCCTTGCAATTTACTACAGCCATCTCAAAGAAGACAGTTGTGTCACTCTGCATAAGAAAAGCTTTATTCAGCCAGACTGACTCAATGGCAGTGCCCAACTGGAGCCACTCCTCTCTGGTGCTCCCTGATTGGGCTTAATCGGGGTAAAATGCATTGAGGAGGAGCTTCAAGTGGGGACTGTCAGCAAGTCAGTTTGGCTGAATAATTTTTTTTCTTATGCAGAGGGATGCAGTCAGTGTGTGCCTTTCTTTGGATGGCTTTGGTGGTGTATCGAGCGAAGATGGACTCTTTGGCCTGGCACCATCCTCACCTTTGCCCAGAGAGAGCAGTGGATTTTGGATCTGCACCCACTTCTGTGGAATCCATTACCAGCCTTGTGATTTACACACAATTTTTCCAGCCAGATGACACATTCACAATTCTAGATGAAGCAGTTCAGTTCCCTTTGTCACCTCTACTTCAAGCCTCTCATTGAATGAATAATCCACATCACCAGCTGTGACCAGGAAACGGACCTAGGAAGCTGCAAAGATCAGCCCTGGTTCACACTAGCCCGCAGGCTGGTTGCGAGTGCTGGGTGCGGGAACTGCAGATAAACCGTACGGTGAAAAATACCATGCGTTTTCCTGCAGATATGTTTTTGAAAAGGTAAAGCGCTTTTTTTTTTTTTTTTTTTTTTTTTTTTTTTGTGAAACACCAACCACATGATCCTCTGTAGTGTGAACCTACCCTAAATCCCGAAGAGTAATCTATTTAGGAGAGGTGTGTATCACACAAATCACTGACTAAAATGATAAATCTTTTGGTGAGTAAAAAGCTAAATGCATTGTAATCCAACCATTTATTTAGTAGTTTGTCTGAAGTTCCAGTTTCCATTGATGGGTTAGAATTTCCAGTACTGATGGGAAAGCCCTTTAGAAGTGGCAAGGTTTATTAGTGACTGTAAATTAAATCCTATTTCTCTGCTTACTTTAATTCAATATAGGTGGCTGTAAAAAACATCCCTAAGACAGGCTGTATATCTCAGGTGCTGGTCCAGCTACCACATGTGTTTCAGCGATTGGAGGCCAACAGTGTGCTTTCTGTGATAGATGCAAGGTAAGGGTCATAGAAGGTACTTTGACATGGCATACAACATTTTAAATGTGATTTTGGATTTTATTTTTTACAAGAATATGCTATTATAGCTATAGTAATATCAAAGTAAAATAAAACTGAAATGTGGCCCAGGCTCCTAGGCAATATATAACTTTTGTTGTTTTTTTTTCTCAAATAGGATTCCAGCTTCCGCCTAACTATCCTTAAAACTGTCCCCTCCCCCCTCCTAACACCTTTGCTAACTAACCTGTGAATGAAAAATGTAGATATTTATTTTCAGGCTGCTTCTGTCCAATCACATGATCTAAGTGGTTCTAAAGCCTATACATTCCTTGCATTAAGGTAAAAAATGTTTAGGCATCAGTATCCCCCCTCACTTCCTGGTCTCAGAAGCCATTGTCCAGTGAGGAGGGAGTGGGGGGTGGGGCCAAGTCCTGCTGTCTGAGTCAATAGACACAGACAGCGAGGCTTGGGAGTGAGCCCATATGAGTGCTCCCATAGAAAGCATTCTATGGGCGCGCTTGGCAGAGGGGTGGAGCCAGGAATGCCAGCATGGAACCTGAGAAAAGGAGGTTTGGAGCCGCTCTGTGCAGGTAAGTATAAACCTTTTTGTTTAACCGCATAAGGACTGCCCACAGTACATTTACTGCTGCAGGGCAGCCCTTGTGTGCAAAATCACGTATATATACCTGATTCACGCTCCCAGTGATTAGGCCAGTGATGTCCGGCCCAAGTCGGATGATCGATCCGTCCTATCCTGTCCTGTGTTGACAGTTACACAGGACAGGAAGTTATGAAATCTTCTCTCTCTGGGCACATTCCGTCCCGGAGCGAGAAGAATCAACATAAACTTTGAGTAAAAGCACTACACAATTACAGTTAGAACATTCTTGGCCTCATTTTACCCCTTGATCACCCCTGCCCCCCCCCCCCCCCCTCCCCAGCTAACGCCTTCACTGCCCTGTCACCAGTGTCATTAGTACAGTGTACTGATTTTTTGTTGATCCCTATATTAGTGTCTATGGCGACTTCAGATAGTGTCAGCGCTTCTCCCAGATAGCGTCAGATTGCCCGTTAGTACACCAGTCATCACATTTAACCCCTCGATTGCCAGGAACACGCTCACATACACAATAAACCTCCATTGATAGTATAGTGTCTGAACGGATCAATATCTTTGATCAGATCAGAACTATACCAGCGTTCACATTACTATAGCGTTTCCAAAAACTCAGCATTAGCGGGATCAGCCCCGGCACCTGCCAGCACCTGCATTTAGCCCTTACGCTTGCCCCTTCCCCCCTCTTCTGCCACAGCAAGGTCACTGTCAGTTGATACATTGCACACACAACCCTGGTGTTCACAGAATAAAAAAAAAAAAGCACACAGGTGATCAAATACCACCGAAAGAAAGTTCTATTTGTGTGAAAAAAATGGATGGAAATGTCATTTATGTACAGTATTGCATGACCGTGCAATTGTCAGTTAACTAGTGCAGCACTGTATAGCAAAAAATGGCGTAAATTGCAGTATCTATACCATACTTTGTAGACGCTATAACTTTCACACAAAGCAATCAATATACACTTATTGGGAATTTTTTTACCAAAAACATGTAGCAGAATGCATTTTGGCCTAAATTTATGAATAACTTTGAGTTTAATAAATATTTTTTTATAGCCGAAAGTACAAAATACTGTTTTTTGCGCAAAAAATAAAAAGTGCACAGGTGATCAAATACCAACAGAGGAAAAGTTCTATCTGTGTGCAAAAAGGACGTAAATTTCGTTTGGGTACAGCATTGCACCGCGCAATTGCCAGTTGAAATAGTGCAGCGCCGAAAAAAGGCCAGGTCATTAAGGGAGGTGAATCTTCTGGATGGCAAGTGGTTAAAAAAAAAGAAAAAGAGCTTTTACAATCACTTTAACATTTAGCTAAACCCTAAAACAAAAAAAATGTATTTATTGCTGTTTACCAGTCCTTACCCCTGTCTCACATACAGTTGTGTTCAAAATAATAGCAGGGTGTTGAAAAAAGTGAATAAAGCTCAAATTCCTTCTAATAGCTTTTATTTCCATAGACACAAATGCATTGGGAACACTACACATTCTATTCCAAATCAAAACATGAAGAAAAATATATCAAATTTGTGTTGTTCCTCTAAAAAAATGGAAGAAAAGTGAATATTAAACTGTTCAAAAAAAATAGCAGTGTTTGTATTCTTCTTTACAAACTCAAACATTCACTATATAAACTGAAAAATGTTTGAGGATTTTGCTTTCCTTTGAATGACTTAATGAATATTTAGTTGTAGTCGCACTGTTTCTGAGAACTGCTGTACATCTGTGTTGCATGGAGTCACCCAACTTCTGGCACCTGTGAACAGGTATTCCAGCCCAGGATGATTGGACTACATTCCACAGTTCTTCTCTATTTCTTGGTTTTGCCTCAGAAACTGCATTTTTGATGTCACCCCACAAGTTTTCTATTGGATTAAGATCCGGGGATTGGGCTGGCCACTCCATAACGTCAATCTTGTTGGTCTGGAACCAAGATGTTGCACGTTTACTGGTGTGTTTGGGGTCGTTGTCTTGTTGGAACACCCATTTCAAGGGCATTTCCTCTTCAGCATAAGGCAGCATGACCACTTCAAGTATTCTGATGTATTCAATCTGATCCATGATCCCTGGTATGCGATAAATAGTCCCAACACCGTAGTATGAGAAACATCCCCATATCATGATGTTTGCACCACCATGCTTCACTGTCTTCACAGTGTACTGTGGCTTTGAATTCAGTGTTTGGGGGTCGTCTGACAAACTGTCTCCGCCCACTAGACCCAAAAAGAACAATCTTACTTTCATCAGTCCACAAAATGTTGCACCATTTCTCTTTAGGCCAGTCAATGTGCTCTTTGGCAAATTGTAACCTCTTCAGCACGTCTTTTTTTCAACAGTGGGACTTTGCGGGGGCTTCTTGCAGATAGCTTGGCTTCACATAGGCGTCTTCTAATTGTAACAGTACTCACAGGGAACTTTACACCTTCTTTGATCTTCCTGGAGCTGATTGTTGGCTGAGTCCTTGCCATGTTGGCTATTCTTCTATCCATTCGAATGGTAGTTTTTCTCTATCTTGCACGTCTTTCAGGTTTTGGTTGCCATTTTAAAGCATTTGCGATCATTTTAGCTGAGCAGCCTATCATTTTCTGCACTTCTTTATATGTTTTCCCCTCTCCAATCAACTTTTTAATCAAGGTACGCTGTTCTTCTGAACAATGTCTGGAACGACCCATTTTCCTCAGAATTTCAGAGAGAAATGCACTGTAACCAGCATGTACAACATTTGCTGCCTTCCTTCTTTAAATAAGGGCAATAATTGCCACCTGTTTTTCAAAGAATGAATAACCTCACTAAGAGAACTCCACACTGCTATTATTTTGAACATGCCCCTTTCAATTAGTGATTCAATTACACAGAATCAGCAGCATGCATGTCATGACTGTTGGGTCTGTTGGATTTCTATTACTCTACTACACCTGCTAGTAAATTATTTGCCATGTAGAAATATCATTTCTACCAAAAACAGTGATTGATCAGGTTAGCGATGTCTGACTGCTTTTATTTTGAACACAACTGTATATGTGGCTGTGTGGGCTGCGTTTTACGCGTGCACGAGAGCCCATTAATTTGAATGGACTCCCGTGCCCCGTGACATGCAGGGAAGAAGTCCCTGCACTTCTTCTGAAAACGCAGCCCGCACGGGATCCTCGGTTCCCAGTACGGTTGCGTTTTCCAGTGCGGGCGGTGTGCCATTAGAACTAATGGCACCCGCCTGCGGGTCTGCATTCCTCTGTGCGGGTAGTGCGGCTGCACGGATTTTCGTGCAGATCCGCAGCCGCACCACCCGCACATATGTGAACCTAGCCTAAGGTGCTGTAGCTGCATTTCTTTTCTTTTTCAGGCTTTTCTTCCTTTGTTTTGACCTGGTGATGCTGCCAGTTATGCACTAACCATACTAGGATGGCAATGCTCACTCACTATACTGTAACTATGGAGGAGCACATTGTCACTCTAGGAGAGAACTGCAGAAAACCTCCCTACTTCAGAGTTCTGTAGTCCACAGAGAAAACTGAAAACCATGCCAACTGAAGACTATAGAAGGCTATCAGCCTCCAAGATTTCTGGTGGGATCAGCAAGTATTTTGCTGCATTAATCAAACAGCTTTAATAAACTCTCAAATCTTGTTATTTATATGCTAATATGGAATATAGTATTGCCCTGAGTGGTACTTTTGGCATGTCTGAAGGTATTGTTCTGTAAAAAAAAATCATACATCTTCCTTTTCTCACTGGTAACATATGTTTATTATTGTTACAGATTTAAGTTTTTCACTGACAAGATCCTGCCGCAGTACCGAGATGCCATCATGTCGCACACGCTGATCTACATTCCATCCTACTTTGACTATGTTCGCATTCGTAATTACTTTAAAAAGGAAGAACTCAGCTTCACTTATATCTGTGAATATACTGATAAACCTGGGATTTCTAGAGCGCGGCAGTTCTTCCTGAAAGGAGAAAGACAGTTCCTCCTCGTCACAGAAAGATTTCACTTCTATAAGAGGTGGGAGCATTAAACTTATTAACCTGAAAATTTAGGGTTGATGATAGAAACGTACATCTTTTTCTATAGTCTCTTAAAAGGTCACTCCATGTAATCTTGGTATAGGTGTGGTCTAAGGGCCTGGCTTCTTGTATCCTTTGGAGATTCTACTGACAAGACGTTACCTGTCATAGTTCCTGATTTGTTTCCCACCCATCTTGGAATTTTGGATGTTCCTACCAACCATTGGGTGTTCATATCCTACTTTAGTGGGAAGCAAGGGACCCTTTTGTATTATTCTTGACGGTGTGCATACCTGGGAACTTGGTCAAGGAGCTCTTATCACCAGAATCTGCAGAAATCTAAGAAGCTATGTAGTGCTTTAACTCACTAGCATCAAGCAAAATGCTGAAGTCTCATTTTTCAGTAGCCTAACCCAACTTATGTATGTATATATACTGTAAGCACACAGTTTCAGACCTATAAAGCGACATCCTCTTTCTTCATATTGCAAAATGGAATCTGATTTTGATAGATGCTGGACAGTTAAGGAAGACCAGCTCACCCTAAAATGAGACCTCATTTTTAGGTGATTCACAGATTAGCCTTTTCTCATTCATGGGTGGTAAGATCTCACTGTTATGCTCTGCAACTTGCCTATCTTGAATTTGGGAGTTATTCAACTCTTACAACCTCTTGAATACTGACTAAATACGGCTTGAAACAGGTATGCAACAAGTAAAGTCAGAACTGCTAACAATTTATTTTCAGTTGTAAAAAGTTAGGGTGAGGGGGGTTAAAATAGTCCCAGGGTTGGTGAGCAGTGAGAGTAAAAGAGCATCTGTGGTTAGCGGTAAAAAAATAATTCCCCATAATTGGTAACAGTGCAAGGATTGGTGCCTTGTCATTGCTGTCAGTGGGAGAAATAGTTCCTCATCACTGGTGTCAGTGTGAGAAATAGTGCCCCATCGTTGGTGTCAGTTGGAGAAATAGTGCCCCATCATTGGTGTCAGTTGGAGAAATAGTGCCTTATTATTGGAATCAATGGGAGGACTAGTGTCCCATCATTGGAGATAATGGGAGGACTAGTGCCCCATCATTGGAGATAATGGGAGGACTAGTGCCCCATCATTGGAGATAATGGGAGGTCTAGCGCACTATTGTTGGTGTCATTGGAAAGAATAGTGTCCTGTCATTGATGCCAGTGGGTTGAATAGTCCTATTGTTGCTGTCATTGGGAGAAATAGCCCCATTATTAGTGTCAGTGGAGGTAGTGCCCCAGCGTTGGTGTCAGTGGGGGAAATAGCGTCCCATTGTCGGTTGCAGTGGAAGGAATAATTCTCCAAGGGCCAGCTAAAGGCAAGAAAAGGGCTGCTTCTGGCCCACTGATTAAAAACATAGTAATGGAAAATAATGTTGTATATTCTAATTAAAGTGATTCTAAAGGCACAACATTTTTACCTTTATTGCATTGTCAGTTGTTGTATTGCCCCCTCACCTCCCACACATACCTATTTCATTTCAGTGCTGTGCTCATCTACAGCAGCTCTGGTCTCTCTCTCTTTACTCACAGGACTTTGGTGACAGCAGCAGTAACCATTGGCTCCTGCTGCTGTCAGTTAAAGCCTGTGAGCAGGGGGCGGGGCCATCCATATTGTGTGTGTTAGTGGACGCATTCAGCCCAGCTTGGGGGCAAGCCCACAGGTGCACCCCCAAAAGGAAACAACTTACTGCGAGGGGTACACAGAGAAGGGGAGGGGCAGAACCCCAGAAAAGGAGGTTTGTGGCTTCTCCTTGCAATACCATTGCACAGAACAGGTAAGTATACAGTGTTATTTTAGAAAAACAAGATAAAGGTTTCTAACCACTTTATGTTTTGTGTGAGCTCACAAAGTATTAAATCTTTCTCTTTTAGTGTTTTTGGAGACAGGCAGACTGATTGGGGTCACTTGACCATGAGACATTATGGCTTCAGACAAAACACAAAGTATATCAAAGTGTCTGCTATTGTCCTCATTGTGACTAGTCTTGGCTTTGCGGTTTTATGTGATGCTACAAAGCTGAGGATGCGATTTAATGATAATGTAAGAATAATCATTTTGATTTCAGATACACATTGAAAGGCATCAGAAACCTAATATTTTATGAACTGCCCACCTTCCCGCACTTTTACAGTGAGATATGTAACATGATGAAGGCGTGGAAGCAGGGTGAAGAAGCCACGTGGACTTGTACAGTTCTCTATTCTAAGTATGATGCTCAGAGACTGGCTGCTGTGGTGGGAGCAGAGAGAGCGGCGCAGATGTTACAGTCAAAGAAGAACGTGCATCTGTTTGTTACCGGGGAGAATAACTGAATACAGGGAAGTCTTCCAGGGAGAACTCAACTTCATTTTGTACAGAAGGACTGTTGGTTACGGACCGGCAACATTCCCAAATTTTTCATCTCCAGTCATCACGTTTTGTATTTCATGGACTCAAGTGTATATCGTATTAAATGAATGGGGGGATCCTTTGTCCAAATAACTGCTACAAAGGATAACACAGCGCCTGGAAAATGTATAGTGTTTATGTAACCTTTAAACAAATAAGAATTCAGGTTTAATTAAAAAAAGAGATCATAACTAAGAAAAAAAAAAAGCCTTTTTTTGCACTTCCTGTACTGAGCAGAGCTCCGAGTAGGGGAGAGAGAAGCAGCACAATGAGTCAATCGCATATGTACTATTGCAAGGAGCATGCTAATTGGAGGGGAGGGCAGAGTGACAGAGAGCTTTTCAATATACTTTTTTTTTCACAGTCCAATCACACAGTAGGGGTGGGGAGGAGACCTGTAAGTGATAATAAAACTGCAACAGAAAAAGATCCAGTCATCTTCCCTGCCAGGCAGGACTGTGCTGTGCTGCAGAGCTGTGTAAATATTTGGACTAGATGGACAGGAATACAAATCCTTTGCCAGGTTAAACAGCTCTTCTGTATATTTTTTATCTGCCTATTTAGCTGTTTGCCAGGAGCTCAGCCTTAGCGTTCATACTTTGCGTGGATTTGTCAGGTACATGCTGGCAAAACCAAATTATATATTTATTCTAAAATATATGTAAACCCTCACCTCGTAAAGCAATCAATTCAGAGTAACATAGAAATGAAAGGTAAAACATTTGAGTTGATTAAAAAAAAACCATAAAAATGTTTCCCTATTTGTTTCACAAGTGATCACATAGCCAAAGAGCTGGGGGAGGAAACAACAGCACATTGGTCTTCCCAGTGAATGTCTGTGAGGGAAGGGGCATGTCAGCAGGAGTCTGATCATTGGAGGAGAGCAGGCTGAGTTTCCAGCACAGGTAGACAACTGATCACGCTATACTCTCCTGCTTAGTGTGGTAAGCTTTTAATAGGAAAGCAGGGGGACTGGCAGGATCACCGGAGGTTTCACACAAAGGAAGCAATACAAAGAGAACAGGATACGTTTTCATACAAGTACATGGTACAGCAGGCACATCAGCAATATGAAATGTTGGCTTTACATATTCTTTAAATATGTTTTTAATGGATTGTGGTGCTATTTTAATAAAACAAAAGCCGCGCTTTGAAATTTCAGAATGACAAGATTTTTAATGTTCAGCCAGTCAAAATGATACTTTTGTTCTATTGTGACATCTGTGTTACCATGGGCAGTAATCTGAAGAATATCTACAATAATACTTTGGAGGCATTCACAAGATTTATACTAAAATACTCACTTTGCACACCTTGATAAATTGCCTGCAGGGGTGCCAATGAAAATGTCCATTTTATTTCACTTGCTGACAAATACCCCCCATAGTTTAGTGGTGTGGGTGAGGATATAAGTAGAGAATAATACATTTTATTGAGTACACTAGAGGTCTCCGGAGATTGTGTCATTGCTCCTGAGAATTGTCCACTAGGTGGCAGACTGGGATTTCAAGTGCTGCTTACTATGTAGCATCTTTTAAGCTAGTTGAGTATAAAAAATATAGAAAATAATATGTGAAAAATGTATAATATATCAGGAACGGTTTACGGTGTCAACAAAGGCAAACATATACTGTGGTAATAAATCTGTGATGACATTACCTCATCAAAGTGTATGTATGTGTGAACGTATAGATGAATTGTAAGCAGGATTAATGCCCCCCCCCCCTAGTTAATCCATAGATACCAATCAGCCCTATCATTATGACCTCCCACCATAACCCTTCAAGGTATGGGCTCCACTACATGTCTGAAGGTATGCTGTAGTATCTGACACCAAGTCGTCAGCAGCAGATCCTTTAAATCCTATAAGTTGTGAGGTGGGGCCGCCATGGATCGGACTTGTTTTTCCAGCACATCCCACAGATACTTGATTGGATAAGATAAGGTCTGGAGAATTTAGAGGCCAAGTCCAACACCTCAAACTCGTATTCCTCAAATCATTCTTGACTTCGTCAGACCAGGCCACCTTCTTTCATTGCTCTGTGGTCCAGTTCTGATGTTCACATGCCCATTGAAGGCAGTTTTGGCTGTGCACATGGGTCAGCATGGACATCCTGACCGGTCTGCAGCTATGCGGCCCCTTATGAAACAAATAACTACACTCTGTGTGTTCTGACACCTTTCTAAGAGAACCAGCATGAACTCTTTCAGTAATCTGAGCTCCAGTAGCTTTTCTATTGGATCAGGCTACATGGGCCAGCCTTCACTCCCCACGTGTATCAGTGAGCCTTGGCCAATAACCCTGTCACTGCTGGTTTTCCTTCCTTGGACCACTTTTGATTGGTCCTGACCAGGGGCGTCCCTATGATTGGTGTCACCCAGTGCGGTAATACTTGGTGTCACCCCTCCGACGATCCCCGCAGGATGGATCGGATCTGCGGATTGAGCAAAATGGATCGGAGTCCGATCTATTATTATGCTCCCCAATCTGCAGGTCCAATCCATCCTGCGGGGATCATCGGCTTGCAACCTATATGGGGGTTAGCTGATCTCTCCACAAGCTCCACAAAAAGGTAAGTTTTAAAGCAAGCCGACGATCCCCGCAAGATGGTTCGGATCTGCGGATTGGGGAGCATAATGGATTGGACTCCGATCCATTATGCTCAATCTGCAGATCCAATCCATCCTGCGGGGATTGTTGGCTTGCTTTAAAACTTACCTTTTTCGTGGAGCGGGTTCAGTGTCACCCCGTGCGATAGGTGTCACCCGGTGTGGCGTGCCCCCCGCACCTGCCTCGGCACGCCACTGGTCCTGACCACTGCAGAGCGGGAACATCCCACATCCCCCGTTCTGGAGTTGCTCTGACCCATTCGTCTAGCCATTACAATTTGGCCCTGGTCAAAGATGCTCGAATCCTTAACCCTAGTACACACTAAGAGAGAATTGGATGTCTGATAGGTCGATTTAAGTGAATATCATGGTGTAGTCGGAATGCTATTGACTTGTAAGAAACTTCTCAGCCAACAAAGGCAAACGTAGCTATGTACTAAAAGAGTAGAAGAGGGGGTCATTCTTTGCTTCTGATCATGCGCTTTTTTTTTTTTTATTCGATTATTTTAGTACAATTACTGTACACATGAAACGAAAATCGGATGCTGTGTTCAAGTCAGAATCGCCTGTCCAAAGCAGTATACCAACAATCAGATAATCGGCTGGTTGGTTGTCGTACACAAAGTTGCGTCTTATTTTATTATCGTGTGTGCGGTCCATTAGTTTTGCCCATTTTTTCATCTTTTAACACATCAGCTTCAAGGACAACATGTTCACTTGCTGCCTGTTCTATCCCACCCTCTTTCAGATGCTTTTGTAATGAGATAATCTGTGTTTTTCACTTTACCAGGAAGGGGTCATAATGATATGGCTGATTGGTGTATAGTCATTAATTGCATTTTAATTGCCTCTTCGCTGTGTCTTTTTATATTGGTTTGCTGCTCTCCTCTTTTACAGCAGAATTCAGATTAGAAAAGGAAGGGGCAGCGCTGAATTCCAGACTGTTGTCAGTCTTTTTCTAGAAGCTTTCTGATTGGAGTACGAGCCGGGCCCTCCTATTCCTTCTGTACTGAAATGTATTGTAATTGTACTGTCTCCCTTATATTGTAAAGTGCTGAGCAAACTGTTGGCGCTATATAAATCCTGTATAATAATAATTGGAGTAGAAGTAAGCACATGGATGCCCTCATCAGTGATGTTCTGTACAGGGAGAGCACAAGGATATCCTTCACTATCCATTCACAGGCTGGGTGGTCCTTGACCAAGCTTTCTTGCTGTAGTGTAGAAATGTGAGGTTGGGGACTTGTTGTTTGGCAGGGCAAAACAGAATTAGGGTGCATTCACACCAGCCGCCGTATTGTAACGCAGTGGCTGGTGTGCGATGCGGTCCAGTGAGGTCACCGCTTTGTACCATACTGGTTTTTTTTTTTTGTTGCTTTTTTTAAACTAACTTTATTAACATTTCATAAAATTCAATTGGCCGCTGCACGGTGCCCTATGCTGCGGCGCACTGAAGAAAAGTTGTGCATACACTGCTTTTTTCAGTGCACCATGCCTGCAAACCATTGCAACACAGTGGAATGAACAGAGTAGACAGATGTCAAGGCATTTTGCTTTGTCATTCGGTGAGTCTTCGCTGGAAGTCCCACAGCATCTGGTTTGAATGGACCCTTACATTTTTTGCCAGAAATCCCAAAGGGTCCTCTGTTTTCCATGCCAAATCTGTTTTTTCAATATTGCTAAGAATTCACTTACACAGTTGTATAGACTCTTCTGTGCTGAAATTGCTTACTCTGATTTTACTGCACGCTGTGAGCTTTTTACAGTGTGCATTAGAAGCTGTAGCAAGTAAAATAGAGCCCACCTCCTTTCCTGACAGGTGGACATTTCAAGCCCTTTCCTCCTCAGCTTGAGCATCCCTAGCCTGCCAATTTCATTCATTAGATTTCATTTCTTTCAATCATTCAGGCTCAGCATCACATGTGGGTATTACCTTAGGAGGTCTGTCATCCTAGGAATGCCCACTCTTTCAGACTGACAGACACCCATCAAGGCAAGAGCTGTGATTTTTCTTTTTTTTTTTTCAGGAAGCTGTGTACAACCCCCTGCTGGTCCCACCCACCAGCCATGATCTGTTTGTATTGCATAGAGAAACATAGTGACCTAGTGATGGTTGTACTAGGTTTACAATAAAGTATGTCATAAAACTGGAAAGATTTCATTTTTTAAGATTTTTATTAGCACATTCATGAGGGGGCAAAGGAGGAACCACAGAAGGCAAAGTACTAGCAGATTAAACTTCAGCTTTAAATGAAATTTAGCGGTCAAGTTTTGGTGGAGCAAAGCTACGTTAGGTTTGTAAAATGAAATTCTC